TTCCCGCTCGATGCGATCCGCCTCCCCGCGCCGCCTCGCCTGCTGCCTCCGCTGGCTGCGCCTCGCGGGCGAAAGTGGACCTTTGGGGAACAACGACGTTTATCATCTTCGTTTTCGAATTCCCAATATGCCTTCCTAGTTGAGCGACTGAAATAGTTTCAAAAAGGTGCAATAAAATGTAAATATCCGTGAAGCTCTTACATAATGTATTTTTCGACCCGCAGTTTTCTATGTTCCGAATACGATGAATTTAGGTTTCGTCTTATCATCTGATATTTCTTCTCAGTGGACCAGCTAGAAATGACATACTTGGAAACATCAGTTATTTTGGCGATGTGAAGATCGAACAAAAGGTGTTCGACGATAACATTCCTCACCCAAGCCCATTGATGGCTCATGTCGCTCAAATTTCTCCCTCACGAAATAAGCAATGTTCTCATTTTTAACTCCGGCATCTCGAGATGTAAAGGCAAGAATGGAATCTCTAAATATGTCTGCTCGTCATGCATTGCGGTATCTTTCCCGTCAGGTGTCCTCTTGTTTCACACCGCTGCATGGAGAAGCGTGAAATCACCGAAAGTGCCGACAGTAAACCTCTTCTACCCGCGCGTCTATCTCCGTCGCTCCCTCGCGCTCGCGATGTGCCTTGCGTGAAGCGGCGCGGCTCTCGACGCGCCACACGCTCCCGTCGCGTCTTCGCGCCGACTGCCCCTCCTCCTCCTCCTCCTCTTCCCGCCTCCTGCGCACCCCGCGCCGCCGCTGCCGAAACCGGCCCACACAAGGCGGATGGCTAAATAAGGCGGCCGGCCCCCGAGCGCGGCCCCCCACCCGGCGGCGGCGGCGGCGCCGCGCGGGCCCCCCTCTCTCGGTCGGCGTCGCGGCGCGGCGCGGGAGAGCGAGGGAGCGCCGGGCCCGACGCGCGCGCGCCGCCGCCGCCGCTTCAGTTAGTCTCACGCGAGCGACGCCGCCGGTCGGTCGGACGCGCACTCACGCCTCGCCCGCCGTCGCCCCCGCCGCGCCGGGGCCCCTCAGCTTGCCGCTCGCCGGCACCATTCGCCGCAGCACCGTCGTGGCGCCGCATGTGGAGAGCATGGGGCGGTACTCCGGGTGTGTATTCGTCCTTCTTGTGTGGAATATAGTGTTGTGATGTGGCTGTTGGAGTTGGATTACCTGTAAAGATTGTTACCCCACGTCGTAACGATTAACGAAAAATTTGACATCGTGTGGAACCCGCTCGCGACCGAGTGTTGTTTGTGCTTCCGATTGGTCATGCGTTTTACAAGCTGTGATACTCAAGATTTTTACAATACTGTATCTTGTCGATGAGTTCAATTTTCTCTCATGTCGTAAACTTCATGACATTAAAGATTGTCATTGTTGTTGACATTATACAGAAGGTTGTTTTGCATCCGCAGTTTCTGCCCTCAAAGATCAACCGTGATTCGCCCTGGATATGTGACCCATAACTATGCGAGCCAAATTGCTTCTTGTGCTTTGTAATCCTAGTTCACGAAGCTAGGACAGCCGCTCTGTAAGGACTTAACGACTTCTACTCCGCTGTCGGAATAGTTAATCCTTCCTCGTGCGCGCTCGGAGTGTTGCCAATCTGGAGAGAAATACTGGTGACGCTCTGGAGTCGAGCCAGGCGGCGGCTTCGGCAACCACCGTGCACAGCCTGCAAGTCTCGAGGGGGAGCAACCGCCACCCCAAACACTTGCGAGCCACCCTGTGGGGCTGCCGTTGTGAACAGGTCGAGTGGAGGATTAGTTGGGGACCGTTGAAAGGGTGGCCAAATGATTGATAGGATTGAGTCCGGGGTTCTGAGATACGTGTGGAAAAATCTTTCCGAAATTTCGTTTTATAACAACTCTGTTAAAGTGACTGCAACCGTCAACTAATTGACGTTTTCTGAACAAGTTCAAACACAGAACATATTCTGCGTCGTAAAATAAAAATATTGAGGAGATTTTTTTTAAAAAAATAATAGAATTAATACAGTACGAATTGATATCAGAAACGCTTTAATATGGAAAAAGTGAATATAAGAATTGAAGCTCCAGTTCCCGATTGAGGTCAGTAAGTGAAGAAACTTTCGCTACAAAAAACTCGACATCTCGCCCTCTTTAGTCACTTTGGAGACAGTATCTTATTTCTAGTTGTGTGCTTGAGCATAAAATCTGGATCGATAAAATGTGACGTTCTGTCTCTCCAGGTTGGATAAACTTCTGTCCCCTGAGTGCGTATGACTTCAGCAAATGTCGCGATCGACCAGTGGGATTTTCTCGAAAGGGGTATGGGCTCATGAAAAATAGTGACTGACTGTATGTTCAGCTTATAATTTTGTTTGGTTTTTAATAATTTTAAAAAAAGATTTATCTACTGATTACATGAATTTTAAGCTGTATTTTAGAGAAAAATGTTAAATTTTAAACCTTTCTAGCCATTACATGCTAACGTTGTAAAGTGTTAATACGAAAGTAAATATTGATGTTTCAGTAAATTAGTAGATGTTATAGCGGATATGTTATAGATCTGAATGTCGAAAATCTGGAAACTTGTCAACAGGATGCTAGAATATTTCCAAACGAAAATGTTGAAAATTCATGAATCGATTGCGGATCAAGAGACATCTGTCAGTTGGACATTTTTCTAAAAATTTGAAATCTGTGCATGTCATTCATAAAGGGAAAACGAAACCCCATTTTGTTGTATTTTTGTTGATAGACGTTTCATTGCAATACTTAATTAAAATAATTTTGTTTCAAATTAACTATTTCTTTATCATACTAATAGTAGTTTCTGGAAATTTGAATCGCCTACCGGGTAAACAGTGAAACCCACCCTCGTGAGAATCTACTCGTGGTTATGTGCATATATTTCGGTCCGGAGGGGGAAGGCCGGTTGCCTGGAGGGTGCGTGTCGGCCGGGGTCGGGGGTGGAGCGGGTGCGTGCATCCTCATGGCAGGCAGGTCGGCCGGTGCGCAAGTGGGTGCCTGGCGCAGGGCGGCGCGGCGCGCTCCTCCGTTGAGCAAGGCCCCCAGAAGAAAGCAGCCCGCGCTGCGCCGCGGCCGCGGCCGCCCGCGTGGCCATGTTAGGAAGCGGCAGCGGCGGTTGCCGCCGCCGTTGAGCGCTGGGGCTGCGTCGCCGCCATCCCCGCCGCCACCGCCGCCGCCGCCGCGAACCGCGCGCCCCGCGAGCCCGCCTCGTTCTCTCGCGGCCGCGTGCGGGCAGAACATTTGGACAGAACCAGTAGTGGTGCGGGCAGCGGTGGCGGAGACAGCCCGAGCCGGAGGTGGAGGCGGCCGCCACGCTGAAGCCCCTTTCGTGGGCTCGCGGTATGGAGTGCTCGTTGCCCCTGTCACTGCCTGCCCGGTTGTCCGTCTAGTGACTCCGTAACTAAAATGAGCCATAAATTTGACGGAAATCGCGAAAGGGAAGGTCGATGGGGCGGGGAGGGAGATTAGTTCATTAATAGTTTGCCTGCGTGGGAATCAAGATTGGTTTCGAAGTCTTTCCAACTTGGCAGGAATGTCACCTTCCCGACGTAACGTATTACTTTGTGAAGAACAGTGTTAACGAATAATCTACTAAATTTATTCTCGAAATACATTGAAATCGGAGGTAAGGTTTTGGCCCCTTAAAAAAAGTTGTCTTCAGACGCTTTCTTTGAAATAAATGCCTAGAAAATACATTAATCAATACTTTATCAGTCAAATACATTAATCAATGATACTACCATGATATTGTACAAACGGGATTGTCTCGTTATCTGTGGAAGTGCGGCGCATTGCCTAAAGAGAGTGCATGGTTCGTAATGCAACAGCTTGGTCTGGAGGGAGAGTTTTATCCCTGTCCTTCCTAAACTGAACCGCGTCGGCCGGTGACCCGACCGCGTCCATTCCTTGACTTGTCGAGGGTTTCGCTTGTATTAAACAGGAATTGTCAACGTCGTACAGGATTTTGATACTAGAGTTGCTTATGCATTGATAAAATTATATTATCGTGATCGTCTTAAAATGATACTCGCTGAGACTCACATAGGATTTTCTCGATTTAACTTTTTAAATTGTCGCTAACAAAATGTGGAAAAGCAGGAACTCCAGCGGTTCCGTTTAAGACCGTTGTCTGGTTCTTTTCCTTTCACTGGACAATGACAACGCCATTGGACACACGTGAAATAGATTTTGGCAAGTAATTGTAAAGTGCAATGTGAAAGGGATTGCGTATAATGAAAGTATTCGTATTTAGTATGGAAAAGCTCCTTCCCGTTCCAGTGGGTTCGTGCAATAAAACCTCGAGACTCGTGTCTAGGAGCGTAGTACATTCGCAATTTGCTATTGGTGCCTGCCTAGCGGCGCGATCCATCACGCACGCGTCGAACCATCTCCGTATGCGAGTGCGTGGCCTTGTGTGCGTGCACGCGTGGCCTTGGCGCAACTGGCCCGCTCCGCTCGCCGGATGCTGCGGGCGCCCACGCCCGTTCCCTCCGCCCCTGGCGCCTTAGCTCGTCGGGCCGCCCCGCACGAACGCAGGTGTTGCCATCAGGCGGTCGGGCTCTGAACTATCGCCTTGGGAGGGCCGTCCGATTTGGATTCGGAACTGCCGCGAATTCGACAATATTTCAGTTAACAAATTTAAACCGAGGCAAGGAAAGAAATAAACGTATCCGTATTTCTTCTTTGTAGTAGCTGATGCGCTTCTATACACTTCGTATCTACAAGTGAATCACAGGAATACCGCTGTTTATCACGTAGAACACAGTTCTTGAACTTTACTCAGAAATCCATAATTTTGTAATGTTGCAGAAACTTAAAAATTGCTATTAAATGGCATGTTTTCTCGAGTTTATATGTTTCAAATTACTTTGTATTTAAGAAATTTACACGTCTCCTTTCCCTTTTTTACTCCTTTAAATAGTGTTCAAATTTCCAAATTAAATATTGAATGTTGCAGAAACTTGCATTTCAATTACTAATTTTTTTCTCATTTGTCTTCAACAGGTCGGCATTGCAGACCCTTCACAAAGTGAGCTGCAAGGCCCGTGAGCAGAACTACTTCCAAGGAGGGCTGACCCACGACTGGGTGAGCTACTATGAGCAGCGAATTGAATCAGACCGCAGCTGTCTCAATGAGTGGCATGCCATGGACAGCCTGGAGTCACGCAGGCCCCCCTCGCCTGACTCCGTGCGCACAAAGTAAGTATTGGGCTAAGGGTGGCTTTCACATAGGATCTCTTAATATGGAGTGAGAGTACTTGTTGACAATGAAATGCTGATTTAAGTTTACAAAATAAATTCAATATTTTTAGTAATTCTTATATTTTTCTCTTCGCAACTGTCCTGTTTTATAGATTTCAAATGTACTACTTTCTTAAAGAAATGTTTCATAATGATTATATCGGAAGTTTTGAATTATTTCCTTAAGTGATATAAATTCATTATTGCTCTTTGGACTTTCAAATACACATGTTTAATGTGTACAATTTCAACATATATCCAAGTAATTTTATTATAGAAACACAACTTTTCATAGTTTTTGGTAGTATGTTGAATTTTTGAAACATAGGTATTCATAAAGATTGTTTGAAATAAATTTGTTTGCTTGAAAGCACCTAATTAAACATTTTTTCAATATTTTGCAGACCACGAGAACGTGAAGAAACTGAATGTGTGATCAGAAGTACATTGAAAGAAATCATGATGTCTGTAGACTTGGATGAAGTTACATCAAAGTACATTAGATCTCGTTTGGAAGAAGATCTTGATATGGATTTGGGGGAATACAAGTCCTTCATTGATCAGGAAATGCTTACAATTCTTGGTCAAATGGATGCTGCAACTGAAGTCTTCGAACATGTTTATTTGGGTTCTGAATGGAATGCCTCCAATCTAGAAGAGCTTCAAAAGAATGGGTAAAAAAATCAAATTATAGTGTAATAACATAATTCTTTTGCATTTATAAACACCAGTTTAATGTGTATTAAAAAAATTATGACTTTGTGTTTTCCAGTGTAAGGCACATTCTTAATGTGACCAGAGAAATAGATAACTTCTTCCCTGGAATGTTCAATTATCAGAACATCCGGGTTTATGATGATGAGAAGACAGATTTGCTGAAACACTGGGATAATACTTTCAAATACATTACAAATGCTCAGTAAGTTCTTTCAATTGAATTGTTAAAAAGATATAGATTATAGAAATTGAATTAATTGTTTATTTACATTATTCTGTTTCCAAAAGCAAATTATAGCATTCAAAAAGTATATTCAACCTAATAATAAGTGAGTAACAAAATTGTTATCTTTTCAGGAAAGAAGGTTCAAAAGTACTTGTACACTGCAAGATGGGTGTCAGTAGATCTGCTTCAGTTGTTATTGCTTATGCCATGAAGGCTTATAATTGGGATTACAAACGGGCTTTTGATTACGTTAAGCAAAAGCGAACCTGTATAAAACCAAATACAAGTTTTGTATCTCAATTAGAAACTTATCAGGGTATTTTAGATGCCATGAAGAACAGGGAAAAACTTCAGAGATCTAAATCTGAAACAAATTTGAAATCTCCCGGACTATCTGCCAAATCTGAACAGACAGGAAGCAGTCGAAGTGTAGGTGAAACAGGCACTATGTCGGGCCCATCTGAGTCTCATACAGAACCAGATGGTGCAAGTTTATTAGCTGAACCATCATGGAACCTACGAGTATCTGGTCTTGAACTTGGGAAGCAAGGAAATCGACCAAAGTCCTGGTCTCCAGACAATAATTCAGCAAACGCTCTCCTATCTGGGAATGCTGTACCAGGTAAATATATATACTGTCAGTTGAAAACTTAAAACTACCTCGTATTTCTAAAATTTTCACAGTATAGAAACTGAATATTTTAATGAAAACATAATGCATGAAAAGTATTGTGAGTAGGTATATGATGCAACAAGTTATTTTATATTTTAAAGGATTTTTTTTATATATAATATGAGTTTATTGCTTTTCTGTTTTAAATATTAAAAAATTAGTGATACCAATACATCCAAGGATTTGGTGGATACGATTCTTGAGATACAAATTGTTCATGATTATCAATACTAGAATAAATGTATAAATTTATTGATACTTTCTAAAATGTTATTGTGTTTTGTGCAGGTCCTGCTTCTGTGTCCTTGGAACAACTTCATTTGGAGGTTTCTTCATCTGTTAAAGAACAGTCTTCACCTGTTGCTCCAGAAAATATTGTAGTAAAAGTAGCAGAAACTACTCCAGCTGAGCCTGCTACCCCTTCTGTTGCAAACCCACAACCGGCTCATGCAGGGGACAAGGCACCTTCAGAACCAGAAGCTCGCAATTACCGAATGCCATGCAAGAATGGTCAAGCATACAGTGTGTCCCAAAATAAAGTGGTTCACCTTCCAGCATCTCCTGGAGCTGTTGTTCCTTCTGTAAAACATAGAGTGAATGAACTGGAATTACAAAGTGGTCAGGTTTCGACTACTACTGGTAAGAAGACTGTAGTAGATAGAAAAGGAATGGTTCTTAATCTAACCACTCAATTTGAATCAAATGGCTCAAAGCCAAGTTCCCCTACAGAACAAGAAGAGGGGGATGAGAATGAATGTGTACATAATACTACAGGAAAGGATAATGAGGAAGAAGAAGAACCTGTGATGTCACAGACAAAACTTGCTCCTCAGATGTTGACAGCAGTCCTAGTCAAAAAGGAAATTTGGGATCCAGGAGAGAAAGAATCTCCAACAACATGTGCTGTTGAACAAGTGAGACCTCTCACTTCAGTATCCTCCTTTGTGCCTAGCACTGAAAACCTAGTCTGGACTTCATCCACTGAACTAGTGGAGAAGAGAGTGCCTGAACTTTCAGAAGTCAAATATGATACTCCTATATATATTTCTGAAGTTAAACTTTTGGATGGTAGTGAAGAAAGAGAAATTTCACAGACATCTGTGTCTAACAAATTAGAAACTAATGAAAGAGTTGGAACAAGAAAGGAAGGTGATCCTTTTTCTGCACAAGTGGATAGAGTATTTGATAGGGAAGAACGTAAACAACAGAGAGCTTCTGTTGCTGCAATACCAATTACAACAGGAGCTTTGCCTTTGGCTCCTTCTTATGTAACTGAAATTACATCAGAAATAGCTCGAGAATGTCCTTCACGGCAAAGTTCTTGGAGCTCGTATGACAGTGCTGTTGTGCTTGGTTATCAGGGTGAACCTCGAAATGCTCCCTCTAGGCAGAGTTCATGGGGCTCTGGAGACACAAGATGGACATATGGGGGAACCCTTCCATCGAGAAACAGTTCTTGGGGCTCATATGACATGAGACCTCCTACAATGCAATTTGTAACTGAGCAAGGTGAAAAAGAGCAAGCAATGGAAGATTTGTTTGGCAGTAGCAGTAGTGGCATGTTTGCATATGATCGTCAAGACATTCCCTGGTATCAGGGGACAGTTAAGAGAACAAAGCAGAAGTTGGAAGAAGGCACAAACACTGTAAAGCGTGTGTGTTCTGATAGCCAACCTCGTTGTAGTTCAGCTTCCCCTCCCTCTTCAGGACCCAGTGTATCTCAATCACCTAGTCGGTCAACAGATGCACCCACTAGCATGAACATGAAGATCCATGCTCCCAGGCCATATCAAAATCCTTCTTCAGACAGGTTGTTGTCAAGTGCGGGCTTCCCATTTCCCTCATCTGATCAGCATCGTGACCTCTGTGCAGTGGACAAAACTCCAGTTACTCTCATCCTACCTTTTGATGGACAAAACAGTGCCCTAATTCACTATGCTAGTTCCCCAACTCTCTGTTCACATAATGAAGCATTGAATACTTCTTCAGACAAAATGACTACATCACAACCTAATATTACTATTTTAGATTCTTCAAAAATCTGTGGACAAGAAGCATCTCAATCAAGTGCCATATGCAGAAATCCAGGTTACAGTGAGAATGACTTTTCCTGCCCACTAAGTATGTCATCCAACTCCCTTGTTGATAGTGTGTGTCCTCTTTCTAGTAGTGCCCCAACAACATCAACACCTAACCTTATGAACAGTATTGTGTCAACATCTTCAAACTCAGTACCAGTTGTGTCAACCGTGTGTGCGAGTCCTTTGTGTGTCCTGTCAGTTTCTGTAGATCCCCTAAGTTCAACTACTAGTCCCATTTCTGTACTCAAATCACAGTGTTCTTCAGTGAAACAACAGAAGAAAGTCTTAGAAAATTTAACTAACATATCAAATAAAAGCATGTCAAATGATGATGCTGTTAATTTAACCAAAGACTCTGCATTGCCATCTCGGGTGGCAGATAAAGATGCACAAAAAAGTGTGTCTGGACTTGTGCAAAATTTAAAAAAGGAATTTGAAGCTAAGTCTGTGTCAAAGACTGAGAAACCTTTAGTGTCTGGGGACAATTGTGTCAATGAAATAGAATCCAGTGGTGAATCAAAATCAAAAAGATCCGATAACATTAAGGTGAGAAGTTTACCATCATCTCCTGTGAGTGTACATCCAGAGTGTAAATCTCCTGATAGTCTGAGTCCAGCAAGCACAACTGAAGATCTATCAGTTAGAAAACTAGTAGAAAAATATCAAGAGGGCAAAAATAAAATTCCATCACCAACATCTGGAAACAGAATGAGGTTTATCTCTGAAAATGAAAACATTCCTCGCAAGTTGGAAAATGCTTTAAACCAACCATGCGTTCCCCCCCGAAAATCAAGTTTAGATATTGGCACTATTCATAATCAGAACAATTCCCATTTCAACAAAGGTCCTTTGTACATACATAATATAAAAAATGGCACGAGTGGAGGCTGTGAAAGGAAGGAAAGTGGTGATGACTTCCATCGACCTCCAGCCCCTGCACCTGTTGCCTCTACTACTCCTTCAGCAGTGGTTGCAAGTGTCATGGCAATGGCTGCAAGCAAGAAACAGCAACATGGCAGCACCCATCCTCTGTCACGATTGGCAATTAATAAGCCTCGGCACAATAACCCTGTCTATAATACTATGTGACAATGTTGGCAGGCCTGGCTGTGAAAACCGTTTTGAGTGAATGAATGGTTCATTAACGCTAGTAATTTATATTTTTTTAGAGAGGTTATTATCACAGATTCTGAGGGGCAGTTTCTTTAGAATTTGTGACTTGTGTGAATGGTTTTATTACTTGTCTTTCCTGAGCAAATTAAATGTTTGTTGAAAAATAAAAAATTAGTTTTCTAAATGACAAATCATGTATTGTGGCAGAAATACTGAATATACAGCAAGTTGTTCAGTCTTGCTTTCATTCTTTTTATGATATATTTATTGAGTGTTATCAGAAATATTAACAATGAGAAAGCGTAAGTTGGAAAATATATTTGTACTTTAAACATTTTAGCAACTTCTCAGTTGGGATCTCTGGAATTCACTAATTGACGCTAAATTCCCAATTCCAAAAATTTTGACAATTCTTTATTCTCTTTTTCTTTTGCACTCTTTATCATTTTCCTCAAGACAATACGCGAGTATATGTTACTTATGATATATATTGCAAAAATGTTCCATGTTGAGTTTCATAAAATTCCATGTTTTCTGTTATTTAAGTGTTCACCATGTTAGTACAATGCTGTGCTAATTGACATTTTGCTGTATATTGGTATTTTATTCTGAATTTATACATTTCTAACTATGTTGGATGGACCAAAACACATCACATTTTCCAATTAGCTTAATTATGGCACAGCTTTTAAAATGTTAATAATTATTATGGAAAAAGACTGCGTTTTAATTTTATTTTTATTCTCTTCCTATTGTGCCTGCAGTGTTAAATTTCTTGTCACTGTGTAAAACTATTATAGTTGTTTGCTGATGAACAGAAGGTATTAAAACTGTAAAGGAAATCAATGTCAAGAAATCTAGTCTTAAAAAGCTTGCGAGTGACAAAGCAGCTAAAAATCTGAAACTCTAATGTGACAATAGTGAAGTGTGTGTATGTGTTACTACAGCAGAAATACAAGTGATGTGTTGAGTGTCAATCTTTTCAAGAAGTATTGGGCAAGTACAATAGAAGATGAAGCACAGAAGTTGAAACTAGTGCCCAAGTCTTAAAAGTTTTCTTTGTTCTTGCTTTTGTGTAAATGTTTTGTGATCTGTGTGTAAAATTTTGTACCATAGTTTATATGAAACAAGTATATATATTGTTTATTGCTTGAGTTGAATTTTTTACGTGTTGTTTATCAAACTTCTTATCCATCTTATATTAAAGTAGGAATGCTGATAGGATATTTTTAGTTCCACAAGAAAGTTAAATGAGACAATATTTTATTATTGATTAAGTTGCAAACACCGAAATTGAAAAAATCATAATATTTATATATAATCATAAACTTCAAAAAATAATAAACATAATATTGAAATGGATATACAATAATATCAGTATTAAATACTGAAATCAAATTCATACACTTTCTTCCCAGAGCAGAAACTAATTTTTGGCATGACAACTAAATCTGGAGTTTTGGGTTGTGTTTTGCGTTTCACTATTCCACCAACATCAAGTGAATATACTCCCACTGGAAGATTACGAATTCTGCATACAGCCTGTTCATGAAAGAAATCATTCAATTAAATTAAAAAAACTGCCTTTGAAAACTATTCTTATATTTGGCATGCATAAATGCTAAATTATTTTAACATCAAATACTTGCAGTTAAATTTGACTTGTCCACTATTCGAATTAAATTTTGATCCGTACCACCCATTACCATAACATCTTTCGGAAGAAACTGTCCACAGTAGAGCTGAATACAGAAATTATGAAAACAAATGGATAATTTGCAGTGCACATGTGTTCAGAACTCCTAAAAAATAAGTTTGATAAAACAACTGGCAGTCCACCATTCTTTTCTGAGCAAGTGATAACTTTAAACAATAAATAATTTCTGTATTTGTTATTAATTTTTTTTTCATTGTGAGCCATAATGATTCAGTCTTGCTAATATTACATTAGGTACATTAACAGGTTAATTTAAAACTCAGGAAATATTTTCCAGATTATGAAAGAATTTTATTTTAATCACTGTAAACTTTTTCGATTGATTACTTTTCAAAAATTTCTAAATGTTATAAATTTGTCATTTAAATCTGTTTCTATACACATGTAAGCAAAAGCCTTGTTTCAAGGAAATAATTAAGTTCATACCATTGAATTGTGGGTGTCCACTTCAAAATTCATGAGTAGTTTCCCTGTTGCGTAGTCCCACAGTTGATGAGGGTTTGTTTTTTGCCATGAAAAACTGACTACCTATAGTTTGTAAGATTTCAAGCAAATTTCACATAGAGACAACCATATGAAAAGTATTGTAAATTCAGAATTTCATCAAAACAATAATTGCAATATTTAGACTTTAGTATACTTGCTTGTTTTCCAGATGAATTAATATCTAAACCATCACCACAAATATGAGCCCCTGACATGTGCCTTATAGACTGATTCACTCTAGTATCCCACACTTGAATTGTATCATCCCATCCACCAGTTATAAATTCATAAGGCATCGCTGGATTGAAACAGCCAGAGAATACTCGAGAAACATGACCATCTACTGCTTCTGGAAGATCACTGGAATTTGAAATTTTAAAATTTAATTTTGAAATAGGGAGAGAGGAATAAACTTTAAGAGAAATACAAAATACTAACGTGGGTTCATACACTCCTTCTAGACAAGAAGACTCCTCATCATACAGATGTATTCTTGCATCTTCACCAAATGTTATAAATTTGGCCAACTGAGGATGATAAGCAAGACCAAGTACTTGACGTTTCTCCCTGATAGAATATTTAATAGATCCACTGTGTATATCCCAGCATTTAATAGTACCGTCAACATCTACACAAGTGAAAGACAATTATCTGGTTGATGTACACAGTAATAATTGCAAACAAAAGAATAGATGGTTGAAGATACTAACGTGTTGCAGTTATGTTCCTTACATGAAGTGGGGTCATGCCATGTTTTATATTTGTTACAGGACCCACTGAGCCTTTATCTTTTTCAGCTAAGTTACGGACTAGAACACCAGTAGGCATTGTATACAAATCAATTGTTCCATTGGTCATGCCGACTGCCAAATATTGGTAACCTGAAGTGTATTTAATACTTAACACTTCAGATGGTGTCTCTCTAATCAAGGAAATTATTTACAAATTATCATTTGTGGAACAAAGAATTTCAGCTCACAAATTGCATGAAAATTTGAAGGGTAATACGAATAATTTACTTACACACTACCCAGTATTTGTACATCTCCTTCTATTATTAAATCAGGATGCGTTGAAGCTAGTTTTGATGCAGTACTTTTTCCATATGAACTTTCAATGCTGGATGAAGCATCAGTTGCTTTTCCTTTATGTGTCATGTTTTCCTTTTTGTGGCAAACCTTTTATTAAACAAAATGAAGTATAATTATGAATCTAAGGATTTTAAAATACTGAAGTATGTACTACTTTTATTATTTCCAATTAACCAATAGCTTTGTTTTGTTTTGTTTTTATCAGGCAGGTTTTTGTAAGGCAGTCACAAACCACAGGCACTATCAAAATTATAATTGTAAGATCTTATTGTTTTATAACACTTATTTGTCACTTCTTTGAACACTTACATTGATTATCATTTTTCGTGCATCAACTGAAGTTGGGAAAACCGCAAAGTTTAAAAGAAGAAAAAAAAGGAAAAAAAAGATGTATTGTAATCGCACAAAGTGGAAAGTAAGAATTACTTACACCAACAGCGTGCACATTTAATGGGGAGGTAGTGGACACATCATAAGGAATATGCACAGCACTACACGATAGTAACTATGCCCAATAACAGTCTATTTCGTTGAATGAATGTGGCGATCTACATCATGACTTGTCCGAGTTCATCCGGAAGGCCGAGATGAGTCCAGGAAGTTCTGGCTGTCGAAATCGGTGGACGTCGTGATAACGTAACAATGCGAAAGAAAATACACCAGCATCGACAATGTAATAGTTATCTCCCGAAATCACATCATCATCATCATATAGTTTAATTTTACCTCCAACTTTGTAAGGATTGCCAGCATGAGATATCTTAGATACCATTTGTTTATCCTAGCAACGCAAACCTCGCGTGTACGAAGAAATTCACAACGCCTGCAGTGTTCCTTCGTGTAACAACATTATGCCTATTATAATACGTGTATTATAATAGGCGTGTACTACTACTACGACATTGATACTTCGTAATTAAGAATAAATTTCCCTGTAGGTGTACTTCCAGAATAACAGTGATTATCTAGTAAATTATGAGACCGAATGTAATCGGCCATGCAAAAGCATTCATTCTTAATTTTAATTCAAAATTAATTTTACTAATATATAGTTTAATCGTTTCATTTACCCGTGATTTTGCGCGTTAGGTAAACAATGTTACTAAATAACTATAACTGACAATTTATTTTTGAATAGAACATTTAAAAAATACTTTTGTCGAAAATGTGAGTTTTCTACTCAAAATATCTATAAGCGTTCACGGATCTTTCACATAACCCCGTTTTCTTCTAAGAAAATTAGGCGAAAATAATTATTCTAATAAAGCCCCTAATAAAATGAGAGCAAGTAGTGATTTTCAATTACTTTTCAATCTTCACGTTCTTAATGGCACGAAATTTCCGATTCCTATTTTGGTGTCTTACAATATAATCCCTTTTATACACAGTGTTAACTCGATTGACAAAAAGTAGTGGTTCTAGACGATTGACAAAAAGTCGAAGACGAGCAATCTGTTCAAGCGCCTATTGACCAGTCTGAATTCGACTCTGTCGTGGAACGGGATTCTGTCAACGAGGTAAGTAATATGTTTATTTATCCAGATGTGTGTTGTAAGTAGAGCTGGGAAGTTTATGCCATTGCATGTCTTTTGTTAAAGGTCTTATCTTCCTTGAACTCCAAATATGTGTGTTTCATGGCAAAATATTGAAAATAAGAGAAAAAAAAACGTTTTTCCATATTAAGCATTTTTTGGATACTTTGAACGTTTCGGCATATATACGAATGTTTTTGTATATTTTTAGATGCCGTGTCCTAGTTGCTGCTGTGAACAAATCCTGCATATCTTAACAATTTCTGTGCATATTTCAACATTTTTGTGGCATATTTGCATGCACATTTCACAACTAAACGCTCACATAAAGTTCCCAGCTCTAGTTAGACCGTGCGTCTAAGCTCTGGACTCGACCAGAATCCCCCTGCATCGGACATGGAAGACGCAAACGAAGATACGTGTGTGCCTACTTCAACTATTCAGTATCAACAACAAACTATCATTCAACGGCAGGAGTAACGATTAATTTATCATCGCCGACAACTGAAACAACTTCAACTACAGCACTTCCAAGAAAACCAAGAAAGTTTCCATCAACAAGATCAACTACAGCTTTGGCAGCTTTCTCAACAGTATGCAACGTGACGAAACTGACGCATCAACCTCAGTGTTCGAGAGCAATAGACTTACTAACGTGCTGTCTTCCATCTTGAGAATCACTTTCAATAGGTACCATTATCCATGAATATGGGAATGAAACCAAAAAACGAAATATTATACTGTAACGTCGTGCCATTGGGCCAGATGGACCACAAATGTCGGGAGGCCAGCTAGGGGGCGGGGGCAGTCCTTTGGGGCAAGGGGAAGGCCACCAGGGGAGGGCCCTCCTCAAGGGCCGGGGTGGACGTGTCTCGGAACGTGGGTGTCAACTGGCGCAGAGGGAGATGATGGGTGAGTCCAGCCGCGGGGCAGCTGGGCTCGAAATTGCAAACATGCCCACGTTTCGGGATGAGATGACGCCGCCGGCATGGGAGATCTGTCATGTAACCCCTCGCGAGGCGCCTGGAGAGTAACCAGCCGTGGTCATTTGTTTTCGAATGGAATTGCGGTGCGGAAGGCACTTATCACCCGCCAGGGATTATCGCGAGCTTCAGGACGAGGGACCAGGAGCAGCGCCAAGCCGTTAGGGTCTGCGTCAGACTGAGGCGGGTATGCCTCAGGGATGTGCAGCGCTAGTTTCTGAGGAGTGTAGATAGGGTATAAAAACTTGACAATAAATCTGTACAGAACAAATCCGTGTCTGTTTTACTCGCACCCGACGACGCCACAATACAAAGAGGTGAAAGTGGAATTGTATTTAATATACCAGATAACATTTTTATGGAATCCTAAAACTCTAGAACATTAAAACATGAATTACTATGAACTGCAACCTGTTTCAATTAAAATCCTCTCCCCAAATGATCATCCAGTTCATAAATATATTAAACTATTAGACGACATTTAAAATATAGCTGAAAATGACTTTACAACGAAACCAGACGAAGATACAGTTAAAATAATTCCCTATAGACGATGACTTTCTTAACTTTCGAAATTTCTGTGATGAAAACATCAATATTGTTCATAAACAAACCCAACGGAAAATTGTAATCAATGGTAATTAAAGACTTACCCCTTACGTATTCTCAAAAAAGGCTCGGTAATGATTTAATGCAGATTGTTCATTAACGAAAGAAAACCTATTCATGTTGTGCAGTGAACATAACAAACAACAAAGACCAGCCCTTTGCACTCGTGGGGCATCTGTGATATTCCACCAATGAAAGCACTCTGCGGTCGGATGTTTCTGTGCACTGCGAGGTCCCACAACTCGTAAGGCATCTCTAAGATGACAATAAAAAATGGCGGCACATCTCGTAGCAGATACTATGCATTCCCTCGTTCTAGCTCTTAACTGATTTCGTCAGTCACAGGAGACCACTGCCAACCAATATATAATTGTTTTTCGGACCCCTCATATGGAATTAATAGTTTATTAAATGCATATTTCAGAACTATTGCATTGACATTAAAGTAAGAAATAAATTCTATAAATAAGGTTCATTATTTTGGAATTTCATAGGCATAAGTTTAGAAGTAAAAAAAATCACTAATTTTTAAAGAGGTGTTATTTAATCAGAACTAGTGTCATCAAATAGGTGCGGTATTTGTGAATTATCCAAATCACTCATTGTTTTAAAATCACTATGCGACTGGAAGATATCACGAATGCACGAACAGCACTAGCTATTTTAAATCAGTAAAATGCCAAATGTATGACAATCCTATAATATTATAACGTCAACATTATATAAAAATATAAAAGTATCTCGGATCGGTTCAACACTGAAAACTTTATTTTACAGGGAATACCAGGAAAACGCGTGGGCATTTGTGAGTCAAATAGGGATTTTGTTATGGAATCTCAGAGATGCCCTACGAGTTGTGAATTTCAAAAACCGATGATTTCATCCTTAAAAAAAAATTAAAAATCCAGAGCCAACGTCTAATTCTAATCTCTAGTCTTTCTCCAGCACCGCTTATCTTTTCTATTTTTTTTTCTCTATAATAGCATTAAGTTGTTAAGTACAAATTAAAAGCGCATAAAGCGATTTTTTTTTGCGACATCTCTCACCGATATCAGGCTCTCTAGGTGTGAACGTAGTACATTGTAGCGCAACAGTCTAGGACAGTTTCTCACAACTGTTCGAAGTCTCGTAAGTTTGTTGCTAGGTCTGTAAGTTAAAGAAATGTCAAAGGTATGGCCATTTACAAGCCAACTGTGCTTTTCAAGAGAGGTGTGTCAAATCTTAGGAAATCAACACTATTCCAAACTAGTGGTGTTCCAAGCACGCAAACTTTCTCGCATTATTTGTAATTGCTCTACAATAGTATACTACCACATTAACTTGCGAAAGTGTTTTTAACCAGCATTTTTTCACACTGACACTCGAACACAACTACTGCGAGTTAACTCGACGTGCACCTTACATCTACTCCAATGCAGCCGCTATGACGTACTAACTCGGACCGACGCTTAAAACTAGAATTGTCTCAACACAATATTTCTAACATGAAATTTTCGAAAATTCAGAGAGAGCAACGAAAATGAGTCCTCCATTATTGTTTTCAGCGTCCCTTGTTTTAACCGGGGATACCATATTTTTTAAAAAAAATTGAAGCGGTATTTGAGAAATTGTTGTTTTTATAATTTGCGTTAATTTCAACCAGATTACGTAAAAACCAATTGCGTAAAAACTACTAGTTTCAAAAAATTACGTGGCCTTTTTCATTGAACTCTGATTTTAAGAACAATTTTCTCTCTCCCTCTCTCTCTCTGTCTCTTTTATATATATATATCATATTATCATACTAATACTAGTATATATTTATATATATATATAAACTATACCAGCGATTCTGCAATTTGAATGGTTAACTTTTTTCAATTTTCAAAAATTTGAAGGGTTTACCGAAAATGGGAGTAACATCATTTTTACCGTCCTTTGAAACAAACGAGGAGAAAATAAAAAAAAAATTGAGAAAAAATTGACTTAAAAAATATAAAAATCATATTTTCTTAACATTTCATTGAGGATAAAATTGTATATCATCAATATTGTAATTGTAGGAAGACGGCAAAAAACTACAATTTTGTCATTTTCAAAAAATCTGAAATTTCATCAAAATTGAGACTTGCACTATTCTCCTTGTTTACAGTATTATATTTATGAGTACATGTGCTTTAAATAATGTCTTATAAAGGTTCTCGAAACTCAGTTTTCTGTCAACACTAGCTCAAAGTTTTACAATTTCAGAAACGCTCAAACGCCAGTTTATCAAAAATGACTCCACTTTTTTTCAAACTTTTCGAAAAGTTAATGCTAATTGCACTCTTTAATATGACGTTAAGATCATTTCGTTTGTTGTTTTTATTTTTTTGAAAAATTACACTAATGTAATTTTTTTGAAAGATCTTGCACGCCGATAATATGCACATTTTCACAAATTTATAAACAATATTGTATTTGTGAGTTAAAGTGCTACATATGACTTCAAGTGAAGTTTTTTGAAAACTGAAAAATTTTCTGTGAAAAAGAGCTTCAAATTTCGAATTTACTGTAGCGCCTAAGCGCCATTTTCTTAATACCGCTCCAAATTTATCAAACAAAATTGCCATTTAGGATGAGGTTTAACTGTTCTTTAATATTCTTAACATAATATTTCCGTTCTGTTA